ACAATTATATATATATATATATATATATATATATATATATAATGTATATAGACGAACCTTATGGTTGTACGGCAGTGAAGCATCAGTGCCAACACTGATGTTGCTGTCTTTGATGATGTTGATGATGTATACTTAACAGAGAACGGCGAATAGTTTAACCGTCTCCATTACTACAAGCCATGGAGTGACCTCATGCATGTATGTTGGGTCCTGACACAATATGCGTCGTCGTCAGGAACTAAGGGCCTGGAGTTATTCAAACGTGACGGATTGCAGCGTGTGCTTTTCAGCTAAGCAAGTAAGGTCTCGGTAGTTTCAATTTTATGCTTTGCATCTTTTACTAAACCTGACTTCCCCTCTGCTGGAACACCTGATACCTTAGGTATGAAAAAGCCACCAGGTGTCCAGTGCTTCCAGCTGCCTGGAAGTTCTGTACCCGAATGCGCGTTGCAGTCATACTTTCCTAGGACTTTACTCAAGTCTTTGTGCTTGTTCCTGTATGCTATCTATGTATCCTGTTTACAGCTTTCCTCTCGTTATGTTAACCCAGTTGCTCGTCTGAATAGCAATCACAACAATGGTTTCTTGGTTCTCTGGCGTAATTCGACGACCGCTGTCTTCGTCAGGTAATCGGAATTTTTGTTTTCACGTGGTTCACATTGCTTGCCTGCAGCGTTCCTGCCACTGGAAATTCGTGGATTAACAGATTTGCAGACACAGAAGACTCAAACGGCTCCACCAGTTGAGGCAAGCTTCAGCAACCTGTGAAATGTTGATTCATCCTGTTCTGTTCCTATTTAGCGCATGAAGCCGCATCACTTGCGATATGGAGAGAAAATTGATTGGACTAATATATGGCCTGCCCCAGCGACTTTCAGTTATTCCGTTGTACCCATTCCGCTCCGCCAGGGCTATTCTAAAGTATACATGTGTGCCAGTCACATTTCATTTCAAATTTCAGGGTCTTATTGAAAATTCTGGTGTTTCACCGGTTAGCTATGCGAACGCAGAATTAATGAAGATTCCAAACTTTCTGCATTTAACAAAATCACATATCCGAAAACAATGTGAGGCATTGAAAAGTAAACACAACCGATCCATTGCCCTCATAACGCCACCCTTGTTTAGAATTTTGCACCGCTTGGCCGTCAGGGTTGAACTCTGATGAAATAATTACTAAACATTATCCAGTGGAAATTGTCCAACGAACGTACGTTTTTAGCTCGCACAGTATCCGTGACCCTCGTGCTCGCATTGTCACTATTCAGGTGAGTGAAGCCCAGCAGTCGACGCAGTCTTTCTGATTTGTGTTTTCGGAAATAGCGTCTGTACTGAGCTGCGGTAAGTTTAACTCAAACCGGAAATCCACATGTGCTACCGGTATACCTAAATCAAATACTCATGAAGCACCTTTTGTAGTGTTTCTTTTCCACTTAATCCTACTCGGTTCGACTGGCAGTCTGTCAGATTTCGTGACCCAGAAGGATTTCTCATAGTGAATACTGTTCTTTCTGAGTATGCTTAAGGTATTTGCATTTTCTTGCTCACCAATTGCATCCGAGATGCAAGGCAACTCGTGATGCCTAATGCTGCTCCTTTGAACAGTGTTCTCTTTGGTGGTGGTGATGGAGGGACTCTGCTCTATACAAAAGCAGCACATCATTGCATTTTAAACTGTCTACCTTGTAGCTCATTTATCTTGCATGCTACTGAATTAAGCCGCATTTCTTCAGCTGTGCTAACGCCGTTCTGTGAGCCCCAGGACAACAAAATAAGAATGAACGCCGAATTTTACGCGTTTATAGTCTTAATGCCTTATCCCGCAGGCTACGGAAAAGAGAAGCAGGTGTCTGGAGACCAGAGGACATGTGCAACGGCACCTAAAGCAGCGGTTTGAAATGGTGCACCTCAGCTGAACGTGTGAAATCTAGTAAACTAACGATAAGAACCTCTAAAGTTGGGTCATTTTTGAGAGGAAAGGAAGGGACATGGTTTTCACTCCCGTGTTTAGGAATCAGAAATGGGTTACAATCCCTGGATGTGCTGAGATGGATTGCCACTTAAAAGCGTCGAAATCGGCAGTGAGAGAAGCTAGTCCTATGAACCTATCCCACTATGTGGGGACGAAATAAGGCGAAATCAGATGCCCTATCCCGACGATGAGATAGTTCTTACAGGTTGCTGGCTACGAAGAGGCCGTACATCACAGTAATGCGACGATCTGTGCACCTCCGTGGTCCAGTTAGCTATACTTCGTTTCGACACACGCGGTGTGTCGTACCAGGCTTGCTGGTGGCCTGTCTGGTAGGACTGGTGACCCCAATGGTTTGGCATCGGTAGGCACCGACAGGCTCAGGCATCTCTAATTCAATCGTCAATCCTCGTACCTGGTTTATCTAGCTGCTTTCAATTTTCGCACGGTGAGGCAGGCGGAACAGTGGGCTACCGTTGCTGTCCTTGTATGGCTCGCATCCAAAACAATAATTAAAGATCCAGCACCATCATCAAGTCAACTGCTCATCATCATGGACTGCACGACATCAGTGTTCAACGCTGATGCTTCGCTGCCGTACAACCATGATGTTTATTTGTGCAATTCACGGTTGTACGTGGGCTGGGGTACTGCTGTGGCGATCACGCCTAAACATGAGGACGATTAGGGTCCTCAACCAAAACATTTGGCTCAAAAGCCTGACCGCAAGGCGGCGGTGTTTGGTTGGAAATTCAAGTACACTACCATTTGTACGGAACTCATCGCCACACATGTTCCAACCTCCAATCTGGATGACCAGGAGACTGTGTTCGTTAAGCCTCTAACCACTGACCAACCTAGTATGAGAGGCTGCGAGTGTCGTGCGGACACCCCCCCAGTATAGCTCAATAGCCTGACGAGGTGCATAAACCGTCACACTACAGCAAGGTCCAGTCTCTTTGTCAGCTGCTCCGTCATTCTCATTTCCCACTGAGGTATACTGCAAGGGGCGTCCGTGCGACATTTACGGTCTCTCACACGAAGTTTGCCAGTTATTAGAGCTCTGCCGAACACAGTCTCCGGGTCCTCCAGGTTGGGGGCGATGAGTTCCTTAAAAGTGGTAATGTACCTAAAGTTCCAGCCAAACAGCGCTGCATTGCGGTCAGACTCTAATCGTCCTCATGTTTAGGTGTGGGCGCCATGGCAGTATTCAGACCCTTGTATATTTATGAATTACATACATACAAATGAACTTATGACGAATCGGCCGTCGCGTGGTGTCATCAGTCGGGTTGCCTTACCCGCTGCATACATCAGGGCGGGTAAGCGGAAACGCCTTTTTTCTCTCTCTTTCAAATTATTCCCCCCTCTAACGATTTAGAGGCTGCTGCGGCAGTATGTTTAAGGGTTGGCGTCGTCGTAAGTCACTGAGCGGAAGGATCATCACCTGACTGAATACGCGTTAATAGTCGCCTATGTGCGGTTCGTCTGGTAACAACTGTAAAGGAGTCTCACAAGTGAGATGTTGATCGCTGCCTGTTACTCCTGTATGCTTACGCCTCAGTTGACTAATTCGTGGTTGTTGTTGGAGATCTCAATAAACATGTGGGCAGGCTAGCGCATCTGAGACTCAGTTGGGTATTTGACGTGGATTAAACTTGGTGCGTACGGACCACGATCAACGATTGTTTCAGCGGTGTGTTGATCGCAGGCTGTTTTTCTGCAATAATAACTTCCAAAAGCTGATATGGGCTCCTGTGCATGCAGAACCATCTTTTACCGAAGAGTCCTGTTTTCCGTGCTTAATTCAGACTGGTTCTGAGGAGTATAGTGGGAGGATTGTTGGCGGGAAGTGCCTTCTGGAGTAGGATCCGCGTGACCCTCTCTGTGAATGAAGTAGGGCGCTGCAACATATGACTAGTAACCGATATCAACGACTTGCTTGTCATCAGCTCCTATCCAGCTGGTCTGGAGATGTAAACTCTACGGACTGATTGCAGTTAGCTGACGCTGCGTCCTTTTCCTGTCCACGTCTCTCTTTTCCAAATAGAGTTTCCAAGGTTGTACGATAGCGAAGCAGCGGTGTTGAACACTGACGTTCTATTTCTGATGTTGATTTAGTTTCAGAGATATAGTGACATTGGGGTGCATAAAGCTATTCAGATTGCATGCGAGGATAAAAATGTGCAATGTAGCCTCAACGTAAACATATTATCAATATAAAGCGAGTTTCGGTATTTTCAAAAACGATGCTGGGCAGATTCGAAGCGGTCACGTTTTCGAGGTTGGATATTAACTTCCCAAGCGGAAAAGCCGCCAGACTTCTGCTTAAGCAGATAACAACATTTTTAACAAACCGTAGTTCCAGCAAAGTGAACGGTATTGAATGGTAACTTTTACTGAATACGATTAGATATAGGTCCTGCGGGAAGTAACAGAGGGACGTATATAAATGAGGGAACTAATGCACGTTGATCGATGTTGCAGTTGATATAGCCTATTTGAAACTGCTCACAATCCTGTTGTACACCTCACATCCTAAAGTGCACGGATCACCTGTGTCTCCACCTATTGGCTTCCCTAACACGGACTCCAAGTAATGTAAACCCTGAGGCAACTCGTTTCTCGCTCTTACATAGCCGTCACGCTATTGTCCTTGGGGCAATCATTGTCTAACCTGTGGGGACCTAATGCTGTTCGTCAGCCCAACCCCTTTGTTTTATTGTCCGCCTTCCAGTAAGCATGTGAAATTGTGTCAGGACGCTGTTGCTCTTTCTACTCTCACTAGCCTCTGGCGGTGTAAAGAACAGTCACAACCTGATCCATTACCTTTTCTCATCGGAAGCTTTTGTCCTCTTAACAAAAATGGAAATTTCGAACCTGTTTGCAACTCCGAGACCGTCTGTTATATTATTTCCCTGATTTCAGGGTGGGATTCGTCCACATCTCCACTGTTTCTTCCCTTGATATCTTTAATATCTTGGAAAAATTCCGGATCATTTTGTTTTCCCGTATACAGCGAACACGTATATGTTACACTCACCACTCATAAACCAACAGACTAACCAGTTCCCTTAGAAGGGGAAGTTCACTACAAGTCGCATGCACTCTCCTTCAGAAAAGTTGTCACTTTAGTAGTCAATCAACAACCTAATGTGAACCGTGTGATTGGAAGTCATTGGCACTACGCCTTCTCCGAGTGCAAGTTAATCGCGCTGCTGATCCGTCAACCCTGCCGGACTGGGGTGGTTAGGCTATTGACCGGGAGCTCGCGGATTCCAATCTCCTATGAGCTTCGTGAGATGCTGTTGACTTTGGGCAGGACTGAAACGGATGTGCAGTATTTCTCCCGTTTTCAGAATGAACTCACTCCACTTGCAGGATGAGTTTTACGGAAAGATGAAACGGTTGCATTTTATTGATTGTGCCAGTTTGTTTCACGGCTTTCCAAACCCTGTTGACCGCCCCTCCTCCTACAAGTCTACTGGTGCTTATGACAGTCATTTTCAAAGGAAGAACCATTCTATTGGTTTCGCTGAGTTACGTCATTCTGTCTTTCCGGTCTGAAAGCTGAAACTCATGTGAGGAAGCCATCACCACAAGCATACCAAATTGATCAGTGATCCAGTTGGAATCTGACCATCCAGGAGCTTGGAGAAAAGAGTCAGTGGTAACTTGTTCTCCAACGTTTCCGCCCATCTCTAGCAATTAGAGACCTCGCTCCGACTCAGAGCACACCACTTTCGTGATTTCAACTTTACAGTTCCCCCTCATTCATCTCTCACACCAAGAATCGCAGGGAAGATTCATCATTATCTCTTCTCGCTCCCGACACGAAGAGACTAGACCTTACCGTGGTGTGACGGTTTGCGCACCTCAGCGATCCAGTGAGCTATACTGGAGAGTGTCCCGCGACACTCACAGAGTCCCTCATACCAGGTTGGTCAATGGTTAGATGTCTGACGAACACAGTCTCCTGGCCCTCCAGGTTGGGGTTTGGAACATGTGGCGACTTGTTCCGTAGAAATGGTAATGCATTTGCATTTCCCACCAAACACCGCTGCCTTGCGGTTAGGCTTTTGAGCCAAAGGCTCTGGTTGAGGACCCTAATCGTCCTCCTGTCTAGGTGTGGGCGCCCTGGCAGTATCCCAGCCCACGTACAACCATGAATTGTACGGCAGTGAAGCATCGGTGTTGAACACTGATGTCATGATGATGAGGATGACTTCTCGCTCGACATATTCGAATTTCCCGATCCGTCATACACCCTTACGACTTCATTTCGACGTTATGCGCTAATGCGTGCACTAATTATCTCAGGAATGTCTTCTCATTTCTTGATACACGGATCCTTTCAAACACCTAAAAAATATTCCGCGTATTTCTCGTTTCGGATCATGGTTTCCATCGACTGCCAGTGCATCAAGTTTATGTGATTGTCTCGACTCGCTCTCATGTAACCTCAGCAGTTTTCTTTCGTACGGATACAAATCAAGATTCTGTTGATAGAACCGTTGTATAGTGGATCATACCCCGGATGTTTGTAACTTTTCTTTCGTTGTACTCTAATATTAGTGGCCTTGAAGACTAACTCCGAAAACCCATTGTGAGTAGTATTCCTCGATACGATATCCACTCTGCTTGATCGATTGGTCAGTAAAGCGAACACTGTAGGGTCTAAACCGCTAAAGGTTTGAAACTTTTTGATGTAGAATATGCAATGAATATGTATTGGTTATGCCCATCCTCCGAGAGGAAAGTGGACCTTATTATGGTGCGGAGATGTGTGTGCTTCGGGAGTTCATACAACTTATACACCATCCATAGCATCGCTCTCATCTGGTGGGAAAGAAGTTGGTCTGACTCATGAACTTCCAGGTTTTGGGGTTTGGACGACTGTGGCAACGTATTCTGCCATTACCAGCAAACTCAGCTGCGATGGTCATTGCCGTCTTCCTGGAAGAGGACCCCGAGACGGGCCATATCAATGGTTAGAGACATTGTCAGACATGGCCCAGTCATGCCCTCAATGGCGCTCATTCATCCAAGCTATTGCCTTCAATGCATAGGTCCCTTCCCAATCCCCCCAATTAACAGTCCACCTATAGTGCTGTATCTGTGCGCTTATTTATCAGCTCTCACCTCTAATGCGCAGCTACCTACCCCACCTCTCCGAATCATCGGTGAATGAAACTGTGGCAGCTGCGATCACTGCACGACCATTACGCGGTTATTACAGCTGACAATGATGATGATGATGATTCTGTGAATGTTGGGTTGTCCTGACACCAACCACCGCTTGTTTGTTGTACTGAGGCTTTTGAGCCAAAGACGGTGTGGGGTGGCACATTAATCATGTTGTCTAGATTCTGACGTCTCGGCACCATTTCCATTCACGTGAAATACGTAATCAAAAATACCCTCGTGCTATATTGGTCTTTGCATGGGGTTGTCAGCCAGGCCGGCTTGTTCGTTGTGTACGGTTGGGCGACAAAAGAAACCCTACTACTTCCTTGGAAGCTGCTTTTGTTGAACCTCAAGATCCAAGCAGGCTGTGTTTTGTAGGTAAAATGTTTTGTAGCTGAGTGGCTGCTACTCACTAATCAAATTAATCTACTCTTCCCTCTCCAATCTCACAGGTCCCAGTATCTTGCCTTGGATTAGACGAGCACTCAAAGAGGAAACTGCTTAGGCTCGCAGTTGGACCGGGACCGGGGAAAAATGTAGCTCAGTATGATTGGAATACAGATATTCTGGAACTAACCAGTGGACGGTGTCCATCTTCGAGGCAAAATACTGACTACTTGAAATATGTTCTCACCGTCTTGACTCTTGAATCTCGCGTGAGTCTTTGTGTAAAAACACTGATTTTTGGTTACTATGGTACTTTGCCTCACAAAGCAACATCGATTGTCGGCTACGGAACCAAGTTACAAGATACGGGACTTCCTTTCGTGATCACGGTCGATTTCCAGTTATCTCAATGGTCAAGGCAGAAGCGCACTGACCGGAGGTTCTATACTGATCCTGCCTGGGTTGGGACAACCTGGCAGTGTCCCAGATCTCTTGCTACCTTCGGGTAGCATGGCAACTAGTCACCAAAAGGGTGTTACGGCTGAATGATTTTTTTAGTGGTAAAGTAGATGTGGACCACTATTACTGCACAGCCTATCGCGGAAAGAACGATAAAAATGAAATCTTTCAGCTGTAACATCCTTCCGGTGCCTAGCTGTCATGCTCCCCGAAGGAGGCACAAGGGCTGGGATAGTGCCAAGTTGCCAAAGCTTAGACAAGGCAAGTCGAGAGGCAGAGGTCGGATTCGAACCACGGACCTTCCGATCAGTAAATTTGCACTCTAACCACTTCAGCCATCTCGATAGGCGGGTTGTGTACCAGTCCTTCCTTAGCGGTCTAGGAGATTTTCACAACCACATCACAATAGGAGAGCCTTTTTTGAGGCACCTATTCTTCCTTTCCAACAAGTTGGTGGATAATGGTCTGTGTAGTTGCATTGCTCGTTGTGGTTCGCTACTCCTGATTTAATCCTTGGTTTTCTTTTTCTCCTATTGTGGTATATCGAGAGGCACATTAACTTGAAACAATTTCTACTTCAGGCAAAGGAAGATTGCTACACATGTATTCGTATATTTATCAAGGCATTTCCCACAATGTCAAGCTAGAATCTTCATGATGGGACGGGAGACACTTAGCCGAAACTACTCGGATCTGATCATATCATGATGCGTAACTGGTTCGCAACACCATCCTTCCAATCGAGATGATGTTCGGTTATTTCGAGAGCTCGCTTCCGGACAGCAGTTTGCCGGAGGATTAAGGCGTTCGGAATCTTAGATCCAATATTTTGTCGGTCGCACGGCTCTCAATTGTCAAGTCAGATACAATGACTCGATGGTCAGCTGACTTCGAGTTGTGTATACCACTACGCGAAAGTGAAACCGTACAGTGAAGATTGAACTCTCAGCTGCACGCAGCTGGTCCTAGAGGATTCATTTCAATTGGGGTCTATTCTATTAAACAAGCCCACGTATACTGTATTTTCTTCCAGACTTCGTTTCACATCCAGCGAATTCGCAAGGTATCTGCAAACACAGTGTTCCCTTTAGAATGGTCTTATCCTAAGCAGTATACACGTTGACCCCTGAGTTGGCTAGAAGTACACAATCGAATGGAGTCGGATTATCGTTACTGGCTACCCTCTATGTTGTCGTCAATTGATGTTTTACGTGGGGGAATGCTCACGCAAAATATCCGTGTAATTGGGCATCCCCCATAACGAACGTAATCTATCGACACTTGCTCTCCATCTTTTTTCAAGAGTAGCCTACACATTCACAGCCAAACAAGTCCATCTACACCATTGACCACGTGGTGAGTGTTCACTCTGCTTCGCCGTGGTTATGTTATTTCGCCTCTTGAAACTCCCAATGACTCAGTCAGCCATTGCTTTCCGGTGACTTTACTAAGGTGCTTACCAACTTTCCCCGTTCTCCCCCTCCCATCAACAGAAAACGGAAACATGGGAAAAAGGCCAACCGGATTACGATTGGCTGATGTTCCACTGGCCGAGCAGTTCATCCAGAGAACATCTGTTGAAACTCGTGTCCGAAGCAGGTAGTCACGAGGACAAGGCGGTCGACCGTAAGGTGAGCGAAAACAATTTCTTAACTACACAAAGATCCGGTTGTTTGTTGGTTTCTGTGAATTTATCATTTTCTAGAAGGCTGTTTTGTTTTTCATTTAGGGTTTCTCATAAGTTTCTCAGACAAAACACTGATCGACACCCAGCCTACTGACTTGAAGGTTGTCCGCACGCAATATCCGAGGGCATCATCTTGATTTGTCGTACAGTGGTTGTAGGTGCCACGGTTCCGTTCACCGATGGCTTGGGGAGGTGAAGTACGTATGTGCGCATTGGAGGTGGGAGGTGACAAAATTAATTTGTAAATACAAGGTTATCAGTGGACTCTTAAGTTGGGAGATTGGGAAGGGAGCTATGCATTGAAAGCAATAGCTTGGATGCACGAGCACCATTAAGCGCTGACTGGACCCTGTCTAACAATGTCTCTAACGATTGATGTGCCTCTTCTGGGGGTCTCCATCCAGGAAGATGGCAACGATCAACGCAGCTCAGTTTGCTGCTAGTGGCTTTCATACTTCGCTGCCCTGGCTCGATTCCACCCTTCGCGTGGCTATGCAAAAGGAATCCTTCGAGAAATTCGGTCGACTGGCAGACGGATCACGTGGCAACCTATACATTGTGATCAGTTAATATATTGTGGGTGAGTTATTTCTTCCGAAAGCCATTCGACGTGCTTCAGGATTACTGATCCGGTGTTCCCACCAGACTAGGACAATGCTCCAAAGACATCGATGGTTAAAGACTGGAAGTCTTTTGACGTCCTCGGCGCACAGAGACCAGGTTTGTAACCCGTATAGCAATATGTAGCATTGTAAACTCGATCCTTGACGGATAAGCTGAGGTGGCGCCTACGACACAGGTGACGCAGGTTCACAAAAGCTGCTCTGGCTATCCCAATTCGGATGGAAATACCATCTTTCGCTAGACCATCGGGAATGATAAAGCTGCTCAGGTAGACGAATTTGTCTACCATCTCAATCGTCTCACTCGCAAGCATGAGGTTAGGGTTCGAACCTACCCAGTCTTGCAGTAGCACTTTACACTTTGCAGGTGTGAAGTGCATGCCAAACCGAGGCAGAATTATTTATATTTAATTTTTTTTTCGCATTACCAGGACGCCAGATCCAAGGAAAGCTATTTCGTGAGCGTACTCCATATGTGAGCGGCTGCCCAAGCCGAAGAATGGGGTTTGGTTGAGGTACCCCACCCTGATCCTGTAAATGAAAAGTCTGACTCACAAGGGAGTGGGAGGATTTAGAATTTCGTTCGGGGACCCTGCCCCTAGCCCCTCAGTAATAAGTATGACCCGCGGGGTAGCGGACGGTAAGGTTTCCTCTGGGGTACCCGATGACTCAATTGTCTGACCTATTCGGCTGCAGAGGGTTGATCTAACCGGAAGACGCAGGGAATAAGGCATTACTGTCTCATTTCTGATGCGGCTGGGCGCAACAGGTGCTTTTGAACGGCGGTCATATTGAATAATGCGCCGACGGTCAACCGTCGGGCGATCGGAGTGGGCAACTTTTATGGTCGACCATTTCTGATCCGTCCTTCTTCGGAGGGAAACAGCACCTCTCCCTCGTGAATATGGATATCCTGGTCGCCTTCACACTTCTGTAGCAGAGAAGAGTATGACTTCACTCCCAGACCGCCTTGTAGCACGATTACTCGTAGTACGGCGTCTCGCTGCTCTTAGTCTGACTGCTCCGCTTTGGCCTTCCTGGCATGGTTGCACCTTGTGGAACGAAGTTTCAGCGAGTGTAGCCCGCTGGATCATTGCAGCACTCAAGCCCGACCACCACGTCAAGGTGGCAGCTTTAGTTCGGATCCTCTGATGATAGTCTATCAAAAGGTGGACTATTTACAACTGATTTCGCCGATTGGAGAATCATATGAGCTGTTAGTCCGACCATCCTCTGGTGGGGAATTTCGTTTTCCAAAAAACTTTCCAACATTTTATGGGGGTCAGACTTTCACACTCAAGGTGATGGCTATGAGTCCGTATGTTCGAAGCAAACTAAACCAAGAAGGGCGAAACCGGTCGTGGGCTGTCGGTGGATTTTCAGCAACCTTATGAGTAGCACATTACAAATATACATGTATCGCGATATTTCAAATATCGTAGCGACTGAAACATGAGGCGCCTTGGTGCAGCACATTCAGTTGCCTGAGAACATCATAAACGAGAGATTCAGCTGGGTTCCAGGTTAGTCTCTCGAAAGAACCAAATTAGTTTGCAGATGAGTGTATATTCGCAAACTAAATTCACATTTGTTCGTGTCTTGTCAATTTTTTATGCACTCTAGTCACACTTTCATTACGGGGAGGTAAGCCCAGTTTTTAAAAGTTCACAGGCATCAACAAAAAGGTCACTGTATCACAAAGTTGTGTATGCAACGAGACTTCGAAGTTTGACGCTTTCATTGCATCTGGAAACGTTCACTATAGTTGTGATCCAACCGAATCCTAGGTGGCGGATTACCAATATAGTTATTCAATCGAAATGAATTTCTGAAGTAGATGACCCCAATGAAGAAATGATAGTGGTCCTTACATCGAAGGGTTTGTGTGAACCACAAAATTTCGAGATCCCAAAGAAACCTGACAACACCACTGTTCTCCCATAGAGAAAGAACGGTTTTAAGACGACAGGAACACATTGTGTTTTTGAGTGAGGGTTTAGTAGCTCCAACTCGTCGATGCACCGGCAGAGACGATACAAGCCTGGGAACTCTGAGGAATGATAGAATACTTATTTCAACAAATTTACTCAGCTCAGCTTGCGCGATGCAGTGTGGGGGGATGGAGTGATGACTAGTCTGGTTGATGATGACCTGATCAATGTTAACCCAGAGTATTCTATGAGTACATTGTTCGACATTGCTCTTCATACGATCTACGTCGAGTGAACTCAGAACAGAGGGGGAGTGGACCCCGACGCAATACAGATCCCGAACGGACCAATCAGGAGTGAAAACAATGGACGACAAGTTCAACATTAGTGTGGCAGTCGAACACAATGCAGCATAGATTACGATCGGGCCAGTGAGAATTCAAGTGTGACGATTATCAATAGCTAATCAGGTCACAGCTCAAAGCTGCTGCTCTTTGCAAACTATATGAACGCAAGCAAGAAGAGAAGGCATACCCACTCAACAGCGCGCTGAAGACGTCTTCTCGAATGGTGACGAACCGTCTGCAAATTAGTTGCCAAGCTCGACGAACAGATCAACAGCCATCTGATCACTTACTAGAGGAGCTTTTCCCTACGACCGCGACCAATCTTTCGAATGTAATGCATATTTCCTTGAACTTGTTCATTCTATCTGAATCTGGTACGACATAAGTAATAGGATCCCTTTTTCACGGGCGTCTCGTGTTTCGTTTTTTCTCTCATCAAGTGCTAGCCTTCCCGAACTAATGGACTCGTTTTCAATCTGCTCACTTCCTGCTTTCAGTTGGATGACAATCCATTGATTAGAGAGTATCGCAAGGCTTTGGAAGCTATCTGGCTAGAAAACGATATCCTGCGCGGCAACCCGTGGGTTGAACCACCCAAAATGCCACGTTTTCGACACAATCCCTATCGTCTAATAAAGGATCCTCCACTGAAGCCAATCCACGGTGCGGACAAAACTGAGACACTGCGTCAGTACGCCGATGCGACAAGACGATTGTGGCGTCTGGACACTCGACAGAATTCAAACTAGTTTCTCCCGTCCTCGAAATTTCGTGATGTATATAAATTTAGCCTAATGAAAATTCTTGTTTTTCACATGACCCTGAACCTTTATTTACTGGGTCGACATTCATCCACATCTGATTGTGTGAAGACCAGCTATCAGTAGCTGGAGAACTTGAGTGGTGTTCACATGGAAGCACATGTAGGCTGCCTCAAACTCGGACTCTGTCCATCAGCCCGTAGTGTTCGCTGCACGAGAAGACTTCTCTAATGTTCCTGAACAGTGTTCACCAAACTCAACTGTTTCTTTCAAAGAGGAACACTCAACGTAAAAGGACGATTCCCCCGAGGAAAATCTTTCTCCAATGGGATAGCTTCTTTTTGCGTAGTTTTGTCTTTGGGGCCGATGAGTAACGAAGCCCCATAAGTTAAGGAATTCCGCCCGCTTTGTTATCCTACCATCTTGTTCATTGTAGATTGAGTGTGCTTCGCCATGTAGTATCATGAGCCATCTGCGATCTCGTCAACAGTGTATCTGCTAGGTCCTGACCGCGGCTAGCTTACTCTGGCTGACCCGCCGGAACGACCAGGTGTCTGGTAACTTGCGAAAATCATCTAAAGTGGAGACAGGTCTTGATTTGAGGCTCAAGCAACTGGCCAAGAGGTCTGTCAATCGTACGATCTCAACTCCGAGGTTGCCTAGGCTCGGACAACCCGACGATAGCTCCACCATTATTATTTTCCCGTGACCTTGAGCCCCAGATGGCACAGTCTAATGCCTGTTCATTATAATGCTCCTCTCATCTCTGTGGGTATCTCTGTCTGTAGTGATTCGGTCTCAAATCTATTTGCGCTAGAAGAGATAGGCCATCCTCCCCAGGAGAGAACAGGCTGAAAAGTATTTTTTCATCCCCAATCCAGTGCTCATGCACCACCGAGCTTTCTGGTTCTGTGGTGACGTCCCACCCGCATATTCATCGGTGTCTGCTTGTTTTGTTTGATTAAATTTGGGAAAAGGAGACTGTCTCAGGCAACTGGGAAGAATCGATGTCTACTTCAGGAACGGCCTCGTAATGAGTGCGGTAATCACAGAGGGATCAGTTTGACTCCATTTGTAACGGGACTCTCAGTCTCACTGCTCCATCGCCTTCTGGCGGCTCGTGAAACACTGACTGGAGAGCAGCAGGTAGGATTCCGATCTGGCTGGGGTAGCGTTGATCTCCTTCAGGTGCTAGAACAACACCATACGCACAAAAGACCCGGAATTCCAAGGCCCATTCGACTCGGTCGACCGGTCTATTCTTCTTGACACGCTTGCTCATTAAGGAATGCCCCAGATGGTCGTTGGCTTTTTCGCTAAGCTGGGGGTGGTGCGTAGCGCTACACACCACTACGCTCCCCAATAACGCACTGATGATGTCACCTCGATTGGTGATGAAACGTTTGCAATCAAATTGCCCAGCTTAGCGAACAAGCCAACGACCACCATCTACGCTACCTGAACTACCAACATTTTCCTCTATAGGATACTCCGGATATTTGTGAACATTATAAATTCTTGGTATTTTGAGACTTCCGAACGTGTGAGGGTATACAGAGAGCTCTCTAAATGCTTCCATACACAAAACGGTGTCCATCAGTGGTGCCCACCCTCCCCATTCCTATTTCATTTCATGATCAATGGAATATCGAGACGAACGCTGGAAGGTCTACAAAACTCTGGTGTTCAAAAAGGCTCTGACGAAAACCTTGGAATACACAGACGACATCGTTGTCGTCTTCGAATAGAAGGCGCAAGTGTTTTTGACCAAAGTCATCTTTCGGTATGCACTTTGAACCCACAGAGTGCGATGTTGTCATGTTCCTGGACATGCAGCCACTGAACACGCCACCTACAATCCTGGGGGAGGCACTCCAAGTTGTGGGGCGTTTTACATACCTCGGAATTTGCGCATGGTCCCTGAATTCCAAGGGGCGTGTGTATCAGGCTACAGTGCACGCTGTTTTGTTATATGGCTGTGAGAACTGGCCCGTTTTGCACAGTGGAACTGAGGCGTCTCCAGATCTTCGACTGTCGTCTCACTCACTGTCTGCATGAACCGTGACCTAAGAGCTGTTGCCACAAATTGTGAAGCAACGCATGTATGTGTTTTGTGTACTTCGTCATCTTTTATGGTTGTCTCCTTTACTCGGCCAGTAAATGGAACCCGGAAGCCAACTGTCCACATTTCTTCCGCAGTCATACACAGATAAAGATGTAAAACTGGCGAAAATCTACATTTAATCTTTTAACCATCCGTGTGGATTATGCGCTCAAAAAAGTGCGTTTGCTCTTCTGAATGTCGGGAATGTGCTTATCACAACCGTTGAAATGCGATTGTTTTATCTAATGATATGAGCGACAAGCGAGCTGCGAAACGACCAATGTGTGTTTCGAGAACTTTCGTAATGTTTACAGTTTCCTAGGTTGCTCGCGTGCGGCTTATAAATGTGTACTACACAAAAGCTAAGATTTCCATCCGCTCTCGTTTTCTTTACATAATTTCAACCGGCTTTTCGTGCACAGTGGCTAGTCGAACAACCCTAGGAGTTGAGTTTGTTGGAAACTGCTTTCTTTTTTCATGCTCATGAACAGCACGAGCAAAATGACCGAGTTCACAGGTAGCTTATTGGCTCACCGAGCGAGGCACTCTGGGCGACTTATCCGGATACTACTCTCGGCTACCGACCAATTTTACACCGCTTATTTAGTCTCAGACAGCGACCGACGCTTGCCCGTAATAATAATAATGAATAATAACAATCGTCCAGCCGTACCAACCCCTCCGATTTAAGTTGTCATGTCAGCCGAAAGAAGCATGACAGCTGAAATAACGCCAGGCTCCATATGCCTAGACAGTAGTAGTGGAGGTGCGTGGGTTGGGTTCGAACCACAGATTTTCCGGTCAGTTAGTCCGAGTCCATTGACAGACTGACTGGTGTAAACTCCCATCGCCTGCGAATGTATGGATAGCCAACCATCTGAATAGATTGAAGTCCAAAAGTTCGCACACAGAACTCGTAACGGTGGCAACTAAAACCCCCGTACGTCACCTTCGCCCGATTGCTTTAAAAATCCGTATCCGGAGTCCATTGGTTTCGTATGTACAACTCTCATAAACGATACAGAGACATGTTTTTATGATGTAGAGTCAGCTGTACTTGAAAAGATTATGGATGTGAAGGATTGGTGAAATCTTCGGCTGTGCCATGTTTACAAAGCGGAATATGCTAACATCGGTTGGTCAAGCTAATGGCCTGGATTTTCCGCTATTGATCCCATCTCGAGTGAGAATATAGGGGAAGAAATTTGTATTTTTAGGTTGGTTTTCCGTCACCTAGTCGAGGTGCACATCTAAGGAAGCCCGTAAATTGTTTGTGACCAAGAAGGGGTTGACAGGAAGCGGTTAGTGCTGGTCTTGGGCTTTGTGAGATGGGTGCTACGGCGTTCGTTAGTGTGCTGAACAGACGAAAAGGCCACAGCTTTCTCCTTTTTGTCAAGTCATAAAATGGGCTCACAGAGATTAGGGAACAGTAAGCGTACTTCTGGAAATGTACCTATGTATGATCTCGTTCGACCGGTTCCAATCCGTGTATCACCATGGTAGCTAATCCCCTTGTGGACTAAAAATGGTTCGTGCTTCCATCGGGTACCATGGCAATTAGGCGCAAAATGGTTGTTACAACTGAAAGATTCGGTTTATTCACTTTGTCGCCGCAACTTTCCCCTATGTGGTATAATGTGGGCTTTTTATGCACTACTGTGATCTTGATGTGAATTACCACATCGTTCGAAATAGGACCTCGGTTACGAACAACATCTTGAATAGCCTTGGACATACAACTCAGGATAAAGCAAGACAAGCATTCTAAATGATCAATCCATCCAACCACTGAGGCACACTCTATACCCTCATTTTCTATACGAACAGAATTGAGTTGACTGGTGTTTCTGAATTCCGACAATGAAGTCTTCAATCTGATGTAACCAGTATTCATGAGATTTTGACTCCAAAATAGTATCAACCGACACTTTATTCAACCTCCCTATCCGAAGTTTCCGAATTGAAAATCCCTTAAATGCAATACAATAGCAGTTTCGAAGGAACCTTACTTAATTTTTTTACCGGAAAATAAGCGAGACACAGACACATCCATGACTAACGAAGAAAGCTGTAAGCATAAAAGAAACTACTCACAAGGTCGCTGAAAACTCTTCGATATCTCGAATGTCATGGGAATAGCCTTGGACATACAACTCAGGATAAAGCAAGACAAGCATTCTAAATGATCAATCCATCCAACCACTGAGGCACACTCTATACCCTCATTTTCTATACGAACAGAATTGAGTTGACTGGTGTTTCTGAATTCCGACAATGAAGTCTTCAATCTGATGTAACCAGTATTCATGAGATTTTGACTCCAAAATAGTATCAACCGACACTTTATTCAACCTCCCTATCCGAAGTTTCCGAATTGAAAATCCCTTAAATGCAATACAATAGCAGTTTCGAAGGAACCTTGCTTAATTTTTTTACCGGAAAAATGAGTGTATTCGTCGAAAACAATATGCACTTTGGAATACACGAAAACTGGGAAGAAAATTAAATTCAAACATTGAATGATCAGTAGAAGCTCCTGAAGAAAAAAACTTTGAGATAGGGTGCTTATCGAAATTTCCGGCAGACGAAAGGATAACTTGGAAAAATCCTAATTAGAGCGCTTGATGAAGTAGTATAGAATAATCTTAGCAAAACAGCGACGTAAAATAAATCCACAGTACTTTTATCGCATGACACAGCCATAGTAATTCGAGTCTGGGAGGAATGTACAAGGACAGAAGGGTTGGCAAAAATACGCATCAGCGGCGAGGGTTCGGACTATAGGGCCATCTACTCCGTTGGGCCATCGGACGTGGCTGAAAAACGCCTGACTGCGGTGTCTTACGGTTGGGCTGTTGACTAGGTGCTGCGTGCTCCAAGTTCGTCGACGAAGTCATATTCCTCGGTTGACTAGCATTAGCATGATAATATCTAGATCGTCCACTTTCAGGGGGAACAATCGTGTGCTCACGGCTGCTGTATTCGTCTCTTCCACGCCGACGGTCCGGTTCATGTGGTCTGCTGAAACGGTCCAGTTCACGTTCGATAGCTTCTTCGGCGCTGATTGGGAGAAGGCGGGATGACGAACGACGTAACAACTCTGCGGCACCTGTTACATCTCTGTCGTCATCAGGATGGCGTCTCGAGTCAGCTTGCAGGTGACCAACTGGTGCATCGGAATGGCGCGTATACTGTTTGTAGACACGGTGGGGTTTCTCGTTGAAAGTGCCAGGATGCGCTTGGGTTCTTTTGGTCGTGACTGTGGATTCCTCTGGAGGGTGAGCCTGGGCAGTAAGGTTAGATGCTGTGCCCCGACGACGATGAGATTTTGGTATGGCAGCTTGGGAAATCTTCTGGCCGAAAACTGCATCGTACAGCCCGCCAGTCGATCGCCTGGGCATACCGGATCGACCACTCAATACTGAAGTCTCAGGCAATCCGAACGTGCTCGGAGTCTGCACGGAATCGAAACGACGTACCGAGCCATCACCCTGATGTTTGGACACCGGATTGACCAACTGGTGACCCTCTGGATCAAGATGGCGAAAACATAGGCCGCACAGCGTTGTCTTACGCCGCGGTTTGGAGAAGAGATATAAGTAGATCTGGAGCAAAATAAATCCGAGAAACTGAACAACCACAGTAATCAGTAGCGATGGCAGGTAGTACCACACCTGTGGATATGTGAAGTGCACGTACCATGCTCCGATCATGGCAGAATTTTCCAAATAGTAGAAGAAGTAGTATAGCAAATATCTGGTCCTGGTATATTTTGCATAAGCGTTGGCGAACTCAAACAAGCCCACATAAGCGAACATGAAGTCGGACAGCAGATTCCCAGATATGCTGGATCGCTGAATGGAAAAGGAGAACACAAGACTGAATCTTAAATTCAAGTGCGCTTGTTTAGCTCCATTAATACTACTTCAATGAATAATAATGACCGTTTGATACACAGCTACCATGCGACTCGAAGACATTACGATTGGTACGGAGGTCTACTGTACTTTGCCTGGAACTTACACATCTATGTGACAAAAGAACTCACTTCAAGTTTGACTTGATTCGAATAATCAGCGCTGGTACACGCTCGTGACACGATAAGGGAGAAAAGAACGAAGAAGTAATGAAATGCCACAACAGCCATAACGATCCAGTAGAACTGTGCAGTGAAAAGCACGAGAGTGCCCAATCTCAACGTGACGTGAACCAAATGAGCCGAATAAAGTAAAGCCAATCCGCCAGCAGGAACTTGTCCGACCCCGCGATCAAAGTCGAATTCAGATTGGTCATAAGCCGCCGGGTAATAATGAGTGAGTCCAGCACAAAGCCATACGACACCGGTGATCGTACAACTCAGAACACCGACCACTACGAAGAACAACGATGGAAGAAGAAGAAAGAGGATCAACCACTAATCAATAAAGAGAGTGAACTCAGCCACACGTAAACCAACAAAACTATGCCATCAGTTGTTTGTGCCGAAACGTCCAGAGGACATCCATAGATAAACGAACGCTTGTTAAGAATGCGAGGTTCAGATCCTGAAGAATTTCAGCGATACACGACGGTCATTGATTAGCAGAGCGACCCGAAGCTAACGGTCGGACAAGAAAAATGTCCAAACACTGGTATTCTAAAAGTGACTAAATCATAGGGAACACTTCCAAGTCTTATTTTTTCTCTACTAAGACATCATGGGATCCTTCGTAACTGTAAGCTCCCTTAATGGGTGATTGCTGGGTTCCTGGACCCTGGTCTGAAAAAATCTGGTTAGCAGTCGCTTCGTGTTCACACCACTCTGGCTAGAACAGGTCTCATCCAGTTTCCGTAAAACTGCTGACTAGAAAACACAAAATGAGGACACATTAGACCCGAAATTCGCTCCTATTAGAGCAGTGCGCAGGTTTGACTAGCCCAGGACCTGAACTCCAGAGATCGAAGATGCAAGGCCAGCGTGTTGCCAACACTTTGACAGCGTGCGCTGAGCGCAGTCGAATTAGCCCATCTGAACAGTCTAACTTGTTCACGCTCGAGCAGTGTTATTCGGTTCTCTAGCTAGGATAGTTTTCCACCCAATTACCAACGCAAAGACGCATCTTCAATCACACACTGTACTTTATTACTCATATCAGTGAAACTCATGCTGGATGATTTTTCATTTTCAAACGGCTGTGGACAGAAGTTCCGCTTTGTACGTTGCTGTCTGCAGAGCGCACTGTGAAAAAGTAGCATTAACACAAGTAGAACATAAGATTGACGGAAACTCGGGGACTGCGCCTACCTGATGAGTCCCAAGAAGGGCGAAACCGGTCGTGGGCTGTCGAAGAGTTTTCAGCAAACTTGTGAGTAGTTTCCCTTATGAAAATAGCACTAACACACTTTAACAGCAAATTTGACGAAGCATACAACCAGAGTTTGCTAGCTTAGACAATTGATTGGCAACCTTGAGTAGAAGTAGTCGACCAAACTGTGACGAGTCAATGATGTAAGTTCACAGAGTTTACAAGCCTCCTGTAACCATAAAATACTGGATGGAGGAAGGCGACGAAAATCCAACGACACCGAGGGATACACAGCGTACATTGGTCTACGAAATATAGCTTGAATTTCGTAGTACCATAAGATTCAGGAAGTTGGCCAAAAGTTCTGTAGGTGAAACAACGATTGGTCAGTCACTGTCACTCTTATTCTCATGTTCGAAGAGGCGGAGAAGGCGCAAGTATTCTTGGATGAACTGACCAAAGTCATCCCGTCCTTTGGTATGCACTTTGCACCCACAAAGTGTGAGGTCATGCTTGTGGACGTCGAGTCACAGAACACGCCACTTACAATCCAGGGAGAGGTATTGGAAGTTGTGGAGCGTTTTACGTATCTTGGAAGTTATATTAGTTCTGATTGTAGTGTGACAGATGAGGTGAATGCACGAATCTGAAAGGCTCGGGCCCCGTTTGCTAACTTGAGACACCTATGGCGTCAGAATGGTTT